GGTGGCTCTGTGCAAATGTCTATCCAGCCTCCCCGGGGAAGCGTGGGCTCCTTTCGGCACCGCCTCTCACCACCACACCCCCTCTGGGGAGCGAGAAGCCAGCGCACCGCCGCTTCAGAGCATCCCGGAGCCAGGCCTTGGGTTCATGGCTCCTTCCGCTGGCGAGACAGCAGCCGTGCGCACACACGTGCGCGTGCATGCACGTGGGCGTGCAAAGCGACTCACGATGGAGCCCACAGCCCTGGAGGGTGGAGCAAGGGGCAGCTGGGGACTGCTCTGGCCCGGCACAGTGGAGGAGCCGGCAAAGGCCAAGGTCTAGAGCCACCAGTCTGCCCACGCCCCCGTGTCCTCCAGCACACCAGGACCCCCTGGACAGGCCAGCACAGCAGATGCCCCGAATGGGGCTAGCGGGCTGGCAGCAGATGCAGGGCGCTCGCTTCGCGGAAGAGGTTAGAGAGCAGCCAGTGTCCTGGGGGGAGAAGAGGGTTAAACTGGAAGCGGCGTCCCCCCGTGAGAGGGCCTGTCTGCCATTCGGAAACCACACCGGGAATCTAAGCACCTGAAATCATTTCCCTGGGCAGGTCATTTCATGAACATCTCCCCCCGGCAAACACCAATCCCACGGCGCCCACCGCAACAGAGCCCGTAGCTGCCACGCCCAAGGACGCGGGGGCAGCCTACGTGGCAGGGAAGTCGAGGGTGGCCTGGCTGGGACCCTGGAGGGGACAGCTGGGCCGGGGAGGTTTCAGGACCTGTCTCCTGACCCAGAGGGCTGCCCCCGGGGGCCCGCCAGCAGCAGAGCGCCCCCCCGCCCCCGTCCACGGCGCCTACCCAGATCTGCAGCTTGATGCGCTTGTCGTTGCGGTAGATGGTTTTGACTTTGAAGTCGATGCCGACGGTGCTGACGAAGGCGGGGGTGAAGGAGTCGTCGGCGTACCGGAACAGGAAGGACGTCTTCCCCACGCTGCTGTTACCGATGATCAGGATCTTGAACATGTAGTCGAAGTTCTGATCCGAGGATTCCTTCTGGCCATAGCGGGCGTCGGTAGCGGAAGCCATCTGCAAAGGGCAGGCCGGGTCAGAGCACACCGGCGGGAGGGGCACACTGGGGGGGCGGGGGACAGGCACACTCAGCCCCAGCTGGCCC